CCCCCCCCACTTTAGCCACAGATTTTGCAGGTAAAAAAGAAGTCTTATACGCAGGAAAATAAGGTATTTACATCCAACTGAGACTCACCTAAGATATTTACAGTATCTATTTGTGTCTCAAATTAATATATCAATTTTTTAATTTCCATCTTTTCTGGATTATTTCTGCAGTGCGGCTGCAGCCATAAACCCACTTCAGTCTACATTTCCAGGATGTATAACATCTTGATCTGATATTATCTCTTCCACTTTCTGCTGTACTTTCGGTATTTGCCAGGAGTGCTCCTTAAATAGAAATGAAATTCAGTGATGCGTCTTTCTTTTAATTCTTGACAGCACTCTTGAGACTTTATCCTCTGAAAATCATTAATAGTGAAATGTTTTTCCCCGCTCACCACTTCTTCATGCAGTTTCCCCCCATTTTGAATAATGCATTATTATTATTATTATTATTATTATTATTATTATTATTATTATTATTATTTCCCGCCTTCCTCCCAGCACAGGGACTCAAGTCGGCTAACAAAATTTTAAATAGTCCCAAGTTAAAACAGTACAAAGCACTAAAATTACAAAGTTTTAAAAAAACAGTTAAACAATTTCAAAAAGTTAATCGCCCAAACCACAAAGCCACTTCTTTGAAAGAAGATTGATCATAACTTCAGCAGAATGAAGAGAGAGTCCAAAAGTGTGTGTGCCTGCGTGTGTGTTTGTGTCTTTCTTTTTCTGCCAAGGGTCCATCTGAAGTGCCTGGTCCCATTGTTGTTGTTGTTGTATTTGTTGTGTGCCTTCAAGTCCTTTCCAACGTATGGCAGGCTGACCAGATGCCATAACTACAAAGGAGGACAAGTCACCGAAAAATGTAGGACACTCAAGAAAAATTGAGGTCATGACCCAATAACAGTTCAAAACACTCATATAAATGTAAATTCATGCTTCTCAAGTCATGCTCAAAATGGAGGACATTTTGGAATTGCTCCTGGACTAAAATCCAGAATGTCTGGTCACCCTGCACTGACTCATGACAGGGTTTATTTGGCAAGATTGTTCAGAGGAGGTTTGCCATCACCTTCCCTGGGCTGAGAGTATGTGACTTGCCCAAGGTCATCCAGTGGGTTTCATAGCCAACCTGGGAACTGAACCTTGGTCTCCAGAGTTGTAGTCCAATGCTCAAACAACTACGCCCTGCTGGCTCTTTTTGTCTTTCTACTGATGTCATTTTTATGTGAATCCAGTGATAAATATGGGCCAAGAAACATGTTGCTTAAGACAGGGTTGGAATCAATAAATTTAGAGGTCTGACTGAACTGGTTATCATGCCAGAGCAATACAAAGTTGAGAGCAGAGCTGCTAAAGCTGTGCTCCTGTACAAGGAACTGAGTGTGCCTTACTCCAAGGAAACACTCACAAGCAGGGGCCACAAACTGCCTTGAGCAGTCCGTTGTCTGGAAAGCTAAAGATGTATGCAGAAATGTTGATGATCGTAAATTTTCAGATGCATCCTCAAGACAATCAACACCCTGACAATGTGGTCACTACTTGTTTTGGGATTTTATAATGCCATCAATTTTTGTAACAGAATACTTCATTCCATCTTCCCGCCAAGATTTAAGAAGCATTAGACACTGGAAGGGAATAACATACATTTTGCTTCCATGCTTTGGATCTGATGAACATTTTCTATGGCGGCTCCACATTTAAAGGACTAATAGTGAGTTATCTGCACATGGATAATCATAGCTAAGCTGTCTCTGTCCAGATCGATGCCGGATAAAGCCGATAAGCCAGCGTGGTCTAGTGGTTTGAGTGTTGGACTAGGACTTTGGAGACCAGGGTTCAAATCCTTTTTCGGCCATATAAACCACTGGGTGACCTTGGGCAAGTCACACTCTCTCAGCCACTGAAGATTGCAATGGCAAACCCCCTCTGAAAAAAGTTGCTAAGAAAACACAATGATAGGTTTGCCTTATGGTCGCCATAAATTGGAAACGACTTGAAGGCGCACAACCACAACAACAAAGCTGACAAAAAGTAATCTCTCAGCACTGAGTCCACCTGTGTCTCAATTGCACCCTCAAACAATTATTTATTGTTATCATCATCATGATCATCATCATCCCATTTTCTTTCCAAAGCTGGAACTCAAAGCAGCTTACAGTTTAAACAAATACAGTTAAAAGCATACAAAAGTGAACGTTAAAATAGAATTAACCTGTTACAGTATTAAAAAACATTACTCATTAAAAGAATAAAATGCACATAAAACGAACCTGGTCCTTTAGGGGAAGCGTAACTCTCTCCAGAACATTAAGTAAAGCTACTTAATTTAGGAGGAAAAGAATGTGAAGATTTCCACCAGAGGTCGTGGGTCTCCAAAACTCAGCATTCATCAACATTTTTATGCTAGCTAGGACTGATGGGATTAACCATCTGTCAGGTGCTATCTTTGCTTCTTACTTGCCATAATGTAGGGGAAGACTGAGGTATGGTGATGGGAT